TGAAACCAGGGCTGTCGCCAGCGCTCGCGAGGCTTACGCCTCGTAGCACTGACTACGTCTGGTGTACGCCCATGTGCAAGCATCAGACTGATTAACTCTAAACAAAACGTTTGGGCGCGAAATTTATCACACTGATTTTGCACGAAAAAACTTCAAATGGGCCACTACAGATCATTCACAAGAAGTCAGGGTCTAACTGCAACTGCGCTGCGTAATTTCTCAATTCCACTAATATTTGTACGATTTCCCATGGTAGTCGATGCTTTCGCACCCATGATGGGACGTGCTGCATCCTCAAACGCGTACTATTGCTATTGAAGTTGAGTCGCAATAGGAATAGGCAAGGTGCACAATAGTCTATGTGCATTATGTAGTTCTCACGGTCATGACATTATTGATGATATTGATCGTAAATTATTCAATTACCGTAAACTTGAGAGTATTCGGATCGAATGTTTCGGACACTCTTCACTTGTGACAGATAGCGACGACTTTGTCTGTAATCACTCAATATACCAGTCTGATATATTGAGTGACTCAATTCGTACTATTGCGAGTCACAATTCACCTCGCTAAAGCAACAAATCGTGCGACATCATCTACGTGACTCGATGCGTGATATTATCAGTCACGTGAGTGTACTTCCTGAGTGCAGCCGAACTGGTGGAGAGAACTTCTGTGGGCGTATGTAGTACGCTTTTCGGTCTCATACGAAGTATACTCCCTCTTTTCTGCGGCGTCTGCGACTTTACGCCTAGAGCGTACATTTATACGCCTGGCGACAGCCCTGGCTGAAACGTATGAGATTCAGCTGGAGAAATATGACTAACTGAGAAAAGTCATGAATCATGACTCATGCTGTGAGCCAACTACTAAACTGGCTCGACGTAATATATACTGTTCTCTATACCAGTTTCCCCCACTGCAAGCTTTATCATACCATGATCACCCGATTCCTCATTCCAAGAGTTCACCGCCAACCAATAATCTTGCCCGGACTCAACTCCCCAACCAATAATTTTAAGACTATGAACACCCACGAGGCCACCAGTTGTGTGCACGTAGACACCAGACTTGTAGAGTCGGAAATCCTCATACATAGAAATCACCCCGAGAACCTGAAATTTAGAGCCTCTATAATAGAGGCGATCCGCTCAGCTACCAGCGACATCATCCGAGAGAAATCTAAATTCTCAGTCGCAA